CCCCCCCCCCCCCGGCCCGCGCGCCTCCGGGCCGGATCCAAACCCGCTCTGTCTCTCTCGGCGCCGAGCAGGCACCCGTCGCTCCACGTGGACCTGCAGGGCGCCGCCGCCGCCAGCTGGTTCCGCGTGGCCGGCGCCTCCGTCATCGCGCTGCTCGCGTGCACTGTCGGCGCCCTCGCGGCGACCGTGGTCCTGTCCCGCGGGTCGGGGCCTGCGGCGCGGCCCCTGCTGGCCTAGACAAACATTATGTGTGGAGAGTACTCACCTACCCTGTGGGGACACCGCGTGGGCACTGAAGGAGTGAGTGGGCGGCGCTCCTCTGCATGTCTGAGTTGAGGTGCATGTGCGCACTGCAGTGTGCGGCGGTCGGGGTGACACCCCGCTTGGTTGTTGCGGCGCGGGTCCGAGCTCGCCGACGCCTGTCTCCAAGAAACCGAGGACGAATAAGCAAATCTGCACTTGGAGCAGTGCGGCAGTGCGGTCGCAGGACCTCACGCCCACAGGACCGGGGAGCTAAAAGAAGCACACACGACATGACAACATGTAGGAAGTGAAGAACAGCCAGGCTCGGACTGGACACCAGCGCGGTATGGGTGGACGCTGGACAGATGATGACGACACGCACGAGCGACACACAGACACAAACAGGCTCACAAGAGACCGCAGAGAGACGCTTTTGTCTTTTATTTACGAGGCGCTGAACCCCGGCCGCCCCGCCGTTCCCAAAATGTCGCTGCAAAGAGGCCAACGGCCGCGATGTTTATTTTTTGAACGAGACGCGGAAATCCAGTCAGCGCTCGCTTATGTCCAGTTTTTGGGTGGACTCAAGCCGCTCCGCCGAGTTCCCAGAGATGTCGCTGCGTCGCCTTGAACGGCGAGGCCTCGAGTACGACGACGACGACGACTACAGCGATGAATTCCCGTTCTTTTGGATGTTCTTTGGTTGCCTCTCCCTCTGGTGCGCGCCGCCTCCCCTCCGCCGCCGCGGCTGACGCTGCCGCCTCAATTCACTTCGTCTCACGACTCACGCGACATCTCTCCTGCCCCTGCGCAGCATCTGGTGTGCGCTGATCAGACGACGGCGGGAGTTGAACGCGCGGCGCGCCGCGTTTCAGACCTCCGTCATCACGATGTTCAGCGTGAGGGAGGGGCAGAGCGGCGACGGCGGCGGCGGCGGTGGCGGTGCTCCCGTGGCGAGGGCCTCGACAGTGGTGACCGCCGTCGCGGTCGAGGCCGTACCCACCGCCACCGTCATCGGGACGCCGGTCCCTCCCGGAGGCGCGGCGGTGCAAGCCGTGACGGTGCACCCGGTTTGAAGCGGGCGGGCGGTCGGCGGGGGGGGGAGCTGAGGGAGGGGGGGGGGGGGGGGCGTTTGCCTCTCCAGTCGGCGCGTCTGTCTCTGGAAAGAGAGAGAGAAGGGCCGGCGAGCGTCCTAGCACACGCGTTCGCGCAGCGCGTGCGTACATGCAGTGTTTTGTGTCGACAATGTGTCCGGCGCTGACCGGCTCTCGTGGTGTGCGGGACGGAGTTCGTGTTGGCGGGAGGCAGAGGCGCATCACGGGGGTCGGGGCGTGTAGCGGGGCGTGTTGACACCGGCCTCCTCTTCGCTCGCCGAGAAGGCCAAGGGGGTGCGGTGCGCTTGCTCTTGCACAGTGTCCACACCACTCACCAGTTGAGCGTTTCTTTGACTTTGTGGAACTTTGTCTTTGAGCTGCACAGACCACAGTTCTGTTGAGTGCTTTGTTTCTTAAACCGTTGACACGACACACGTGGAACAGCGCTCAGCGGTCAGAGCGCACTATGAGTAACCAGCCTCCGGCGGGCCCCCCCGCTCTAGCACCCAAAACCTCGGAGTACAAAGCGCCTCTCCGAGAGGCGAGAGCGCGCTTGCAGACGCGGTCTAGACCTGCTTTTGTTTGTTGGGGAGGCCCAGCGGGCAGAGATCGAGGGCGTGACCCGACCAACTAGCGTTGTCCCACCTAATCGTAGAGCTCAAAAGTGACAACAGTTCAACTGACAAGTCCACACAAAGGTATAGGGACGAGCAAGGTGCACACGCGTGCAGAGCTCTGTCTGAGCTGCTGCAGCTCCAACCCGCCCCATGCTCCACTCGCCGAGAGCCTTCTGGTTGCGAAGCGCCTC